TCTATGGGGGCGACCGACGCGAATTGCCGCTTAACACTGACTACCTAGCCATCATGCGGCGAGCGCACTAATTGATCAACAGTGGGGACTGATTAATATGGATGATGGGCTCAATGGGAAGAGTGCAGTCTGCATTACAACTCGCCTTTAATTTTCCCCAATCGGGAAAAAATTGCTTTATGACTAACGTTGGGCGGAATTAGTACCGATATCCATGTAAAGCCGCGGCCCAAAGGCTTGCCTGGTTGTTTACCCGACGAGTGAGTAATCGCCAGGGCGCGCCTTAATCAACACTCATCATTGAGGAGAGTTTAGGAAGTGTTCCAAGAACAGTCACTGATGTTTTGCAACGCAAAACAAACCTTGAGCGAGGTCGCGCTTCTTCGCGACCTGAATATTGAAGATTTCGCGGAAAAATCGTGCGCCATGCACTGCTGCTGCAGTCGTCGGCCCAAATAGGGCTATCAAAGGATGTCATTAGTGTTTCTCCAGCATTAATCACATCCTTCCGGTCAAGAGGGCTGGATGCGGCGGGTTCGTCGTCCTGTCCGCTTTAAGGCCAAAACTAAGGGCTCTTATCGGGCAAAACCTTCAAAACATATGCGCTTATATGGTAAATAGGACGCCGCAATGGAACAATTAACTGCTGGAAGCTAGCTTTGCATACTAAATGGGACGCGACCAGAGTCACGCAAACTTCTGGTTCTTCCTGCTAGCCGCGTTTATGAGACTGACCTTTCAGTGGTGGGCCCGTCGCAGTTTAGCGGATACTTCAGCTCGATCACGTCGCCGTGCTTCTCCTTCAGTTGGCCCTGTTTCTCCATGTAGTACTGGACCAGCTCGGAGAGGGTGGCAAACTTTTCGCCGCCATACAGATCGTAAAAGTCGCCGGAATTCTGTATCTTGATGTGGGTGACTTCGCCATTACGCCTAAAATACAAGTTCACTCGCTTAGTGCTAAGGCATTGATAGAACAACGTTGGAGCCCAAGGCAGATTGGAACAATTAAAAGCAAGCCATTGCAGTCCAGCCTTGTCAATAACAATACAAAGAATGTATGAACTTACCGGACTGATAGAGTGAAGTCGCCAGGCACTGAGGAACTGGGCCTTGCCAAGAAGCTGCAATCGACGCCCCTCTCCATCAACACCCTTTCGGCGTCGATGCCGCTGATTGTCGGCCAAAACCACCTGTTGCAGATCGATAGATTAGAAAAGTAACATGCTGCAGGCGCCGGTAGGCCCTCGGGGCGTCGCCCTTGGATCCCCAGGGGCTTTTGCTCCATGTTTACATTGATTCGGCCTGTCTCGGACGCATTCAACCAGGTGTAAAAATGGGGCGCTCATCGCCTGTTCAATACTAACCGTCTAGAGCTCATGGTGGATCATGCAAGCCTTGTTACTGTAGTCCTAGGGCTCAAATGGTTAACAGGAGAACGGGACGTTGTCAAACCCGAACGCCATGTTGTTTCTCACTGAACTGACATGGGCACGGCAGTCGGGCCAACCTTATGGTCAAACATTCCTGGTATTTCATAGGCGCACCCAGTGGATTTGTGCGGTTTTTTGTAGTTTGAGTGACGAAAACCGCCAAACGCCTCAAAAATACCGATAAAGGGCTTTAAAAGGACAGTGAATTGCTCTGGATAAGTAAAACTTGCTAGCGCTGTTGCCAAACGGTTAAATAAAACTGGCTCGGCCCACTATCAGGGAGTGTTTGCAGTTAAGTTGCCCATATATGGGTAGTATTAGCGGCAACGTTGCGAAATTCTAGTGGAAAATCTGCTCGGAGCAGTGGCGTGCTGTGGAGGTGCACCAAGGAATGATTAATAAAAAATGCGTTCACAAATTTTTATGAAACTTATCAGCGTTTGACAAAAATTACACTTTGAATATCTAAGTGTGGTTCAATGGAGCGGAAAACAATAAACAGCAGTAAACAGTTGTTCTTAATTTGAATTTTCTTCGGTAAAACATGAAGCTGTGCTCCAGAATTACCGCATTTTCAATTTTTCTGCGGGTGTTTAAAGGAAAAATTCATCAAGGTTGTGTTTTATGTCCTTGATTTGCTTTATTTTGTTGAATTTTCTTCAAAACACCGGCAAGGTTGCAAATTATATTATTGCTGAATTTTGCTAGTTTTTTGTATGATTGTATTCCTGAAAGCACTGTGGAGAAAGTTGGAATTCTTTCAACTAATTGACGGGATTTTAAAGATTTTTCAAAGAATCGTTAAACGTTTTGCTCCATAACGCAATGTGTCCTGCCTTAATAATTTCCAAAAAATCGGCTTTTTAGTTTGTTTTGTGCTGGCGCTTAATTTAAATTAGAGAGAGATAAATTCCTTATATAATTTTCTATATAGAAAACTAAAATTGACTCACATTGCTGAGGAATTTTCGGGATTTTTCAGAAAAATAGTTGAAACGCAGGTTTTTGACACTGTGTCTCACTTTAACCGCGCTCTTCTGATAGAGATGCCATGATTTTTTGCGCTTTACCACAAAAAAATGGTTTTCTGATCTAAAACCGGAAACAGCCAGGATTGTTTTCAGTTGGCGCTTTATAAAAATGGAAAAAATTTTCACGTCCCTAAGTAGAAAATTATTATACAAGCGTCTAGGTATACGACACGTCCTGTCACTTCTATCGATTGCGGCGATTCGAACCAATCAAATAAGCCTGCCGGTTTGTTGTTATCGAACGTATCGTTGACAAGTTCCACAAATAAGTTAAGACGATTTAAGGTTAGGTGGTTTTGTTTTATTGTTTGATGATAATTATTTTATAATTTGTCGAGATAAACAACCGCGAGTCCGCCAATCATTTTTTTTTT